AATTTGAGTATATTATTAGTGAATCAAAACAGCTATTTGAGTTAGTTATGTGTTGTCAATTTGATAAACTATTTTAACATTTCTGGTTTTTTTTTTAGTATTGGTGTGAGAAGCAAAAAGAATACGAACTTTTTTTGTTGGATTGAAAAGAGACACGGATGGGATGAAAGCAGGTAGAGAGATTCATTATCGACATTCTCAGATTCGTCATTATCATCATTATCAAGCCACAGACAAAGATTGGATCAATCCATTGATGGAGGCCATCCAAACTCTAGCTACTTTGAAGGAATCTGGACAAGGAAGAACTGATGATGTGAGTTAATTTGTGTATTATTATTGTGTATTAATAATAATATATATTGATTCATTGATTGTTTGTGTATCAGTATCGGAACAATTGAAGGTCAATGGGTTAAAGAAATTATTGACTTTGTTAACTACGGGAAAGGGAAAGGAGTAAATGAAGTGGGAGAGTTAAAGACTCGACAATCTTTTTACATGCCCTCAAAGGCTCAACAATCGAAAGACACGTTTCAGGTCAGCCTTTACAAGGTGGTCTTTGACTTTCTTGTAAATCAAGAAGCACCGTTCCCAGTGGATTACTTCTTCTCCCACTTCTCCTTAGACCGTGGTCAACTCCTACCTCAAAAAATCATAGATGAACTTGAAGGCCTTGGACACGAAGCAGAGACCATTGAAGATTTGGTGCTTATGTATAAAACGATGTTCAGCCCCATGGATAAAATCTCCTTTAAACTGATAATAGAGTAAGAAAAACATTTCTATCAAAAGCTAAAAATCTCTTTTAATACATCATAAGTATTTACATTTTTCTCAAGCGACATTTGAAGGCGACTTGTTAATGTATGAGAATATATGATGTTCCCATCTATTTTTTTCTAGATTTGAAAACATTTTGTCTCCAAAAATTAGCTTAATGTTTGTGAGAAATGAATGATGTCATTCCACAAAATTTGCACAAATCAAACGTTTTCCCTTTGTCTTTGAGTTTAGGATACTAAATTACTCTTCTTTGTGGATTTAGAGACTCCTAATGATGTCATAGTAATATGAGACTTTGAAAACTCATGGTTGTCGCATAGATATAGCATTAGCACTCTATAAGAAAATATTAGTTTTTGTGTAGATATTCATGGAGATGTTAGTGTCTAAAGGTTTTTTTGGACATAATACCACTAATTATCATGGATACCACGAGTCAACCTCTTTGTGTCGTAGGAATTTGGGACTTTGAGAGCTCCAAGTTGAAACCATATTTGGTTTTAAATATGACAAAATCAACTCGCTATCACAGGAATTCGAAATTATTCGAATCCCCCAAGAAACCATGTTTTGTGATATGTCTGCTTATCTGAATCCGGATTCCGTTGTTGAAGGTGATCCTAACAAAGGTAAAAAGTGTTTTTCCCTTTCAATTTGCCTTTTATTTTTGGGAGCTTTTGTTTAATAGTCTAATTTTTTTTTATAAAACTTGAATAGAGATTACATTTTATTACATTTTATTTTTGTTAAAGCTTATGTAATTTACAAAGACCTTATTTATGATAAACAGATTAAACTCAAATCAGATTTTAAAAATCATCATTTTCTTTTAGTTCGAATATTAAGTTTATTTTATTTTGTTGGATAATGTTAATCATAGTTGTCATTGTAAGAAGGTTAGTTTTCTAATTTTTTAAAAAATTTCAAAATACATACGGTTTTGAAAATATTTTTACAATTTTTTCTCATGATAAAACCTTTTTTTTCTTTTTCAAGTACAAATAATGAGAAAGACCGATGTTGCGGACAAGTATGCAATGTTGGGAATGTACATGGAAGCGTGTAGAACACCAAATATTTTAGTGATTTCCTCGGATGGGGATTTTATCAATGCGATCGATAGAATGATCACTCGAGGTGGTATAAGTGTAATGGTGGCGGTACACGCGCGTTTCGATCTTAATAGCCAGTTTCTACATGTTCCGGTAGCTACTTGGATTTGGAGTTCTGAGAATCCTAATGAAGAAACGATGATTCATAACGGACATGGTCTTGTCCGTGAAGGCTACCAACTTCCTCAAGGTAGATTAAATGAATAAGTTTTCTAATGTTTTCTTTTTCTATTGATTTCTAAGAGCATGATCAATGCTAGTTGTTAGTGGATTTTTTAATGGGTTGCTTAAGATTAAAAATAATTAAATAATCAAATAATCTTAGAAACTTAAACTTTAGTCGCTAATTTTAGCATTCTAAGCACCTCAAAAAATGGGTTGCTAAGGTTAAAATAATAAAATAATTTTAGCACCCTAACTCTAGCAAGAATGGTTGATCATGCTCTAATGTTTTCGTTCTTTTTTTTTTCAGAACAAATCTAGTTGAGTGTTAAAACTTGTTATAAGACTATTTTAAATTTTCATTAAGCCTTGAAGTTGTGTGTAATGTATAACATGAACTATGTAAAAGAACTATTCCTATTCCTATGTAAGTTGTTGTGTGTAATGTGTAATATGAACTATGTAAAATAACTATTCCTATTCCTAATTCCATTGTGTTAAAAAAGTTGTTTTTGTAAGTGTTAAGCTGTTGTAATATGTAATATATAATATGGACTATGTAAAGAAGACAACCATGGAAGCTGTGCTTGTCGACTGTGCACAGAACAATCTTCGTCATTTTGTGTACAAAAATGCAACTTCATGCGCGAGCGTCAGACTGTGTACAGGTACATGTTTTTTTCTATGAATTATTGTAAATTGAAGCCACTGGAAATGGAGAAATTACAGAGATTCTGGGTTTATTGCGTCTGGGTTTCTATGAATATTTTTACTTCTTTTCGGATGTGGATTTTGGTTTGATTGGAAGTAGAGGATGAGGTTTAGCATTTGGTCTGAATCAAATCCAACATTCGTAGCTTTTAGTTATCCAATTGTTAGCTTCAGTCAATGAAAAACTAGCCCTTGATGCCTTCCTGTTTAATCACTTTCAGATTTTGCCTCTTATATAGGTTAATTTGCCACGAGCTACCTGCAAAAGAATGAAGCTTACAGTGCATATCATCTGCTAAAGGGTGCGTGGCATGGTTTCTTAACTTGTCTATAGTCTGAATCTCGAAGCTTCATTTGGTTGGCTGTTTTGCTCATTGTTGTTTCGATATTATGTAAAGAGGAACACAATGGCGCAGTCCAGGTAGCTGTTCGCATTATCATGCTTCCACATGAACCTTCTCAATGAAGCTGAATCTGCACCCTGACCTGTTGGTGCAGAGGTACTTAAGGACTTGCATTTAGTTTTCTCACTGAATGTCTTCTTACAAACTCAGTGTGTCTGTGTCAGTATCTGTAACTTTTGTGTTGATTTAGCTCACTTTAGAAGATAGTAACATAGCTTCTGGTTGTTCTGCAGATCCCAAAGCTCTACTTCATACATAGGCAAATTCGGTTGATTCAAATCTCAGCAGCACCAGAACCAGAGTCTCCTTCATCGGTTACTCTTCTTCTCATTTCAGGTAAGAATAACTTTGTTGGTGTGGAACATGGGAGGCCAATGCTTTGGAGAAACAAGTACGACACATAACGAGAAGTACACTTGAGGGTCCATGGATGAATGAGGTGGAATCAGTAATATCAGATATGAAAATATATGTGTTTTACATGAACAAAACGAAAAATGACTTTGTACCGAACCGATGGTCATGCGTGGGTGGTTTACAGACAGCCTGTGGATGTTCTCCTGCAGCTGGAATGTTCCAAGATTATAGCCAATTGGTGCGAGTTCCTGACTCTCATGGAACCAGCTTATCTAGGTTACTCTCTAGCGGTTCCTTGCCTTCACTTTATTACTATCTCTGTTTATAGATGGAGTTTGTCGGAATGAGTTGATTTTTGTTTTTACCCCTTGACAGTTTTAAAGTAGTCTATTCTCAAAACACTGCTCATTCTACTTGAAGCTGCCCTTGTTGCATACATCTGAAGAAGTTTACTTGAAGAGGAAGGTTGAGATGGAGTTGGGGACAAAGATGATCCACTTGAAGATGAGATGCAGCGGTCTTGGTTCCGAATGGGGAAAGGTTAAAAAATTTGTTAAACCTGCTCGTTTGAGTGTCCTGCTCATTACTAGGTACTTGCTCAGCTCATGGAACTTATTACAAACAAGATAGAACTAAAACTTGTGTGTGTCTAAAGATTTGATTTGATTAGATCATGACTTGTCCTCTAGATTCTAATTCCATGTCTTAAATGTGCTCTTTTCGTTCTTTGTAATATTTTGGTATTGCATAGACACCATAATTTACATACACGTTAAACTAAAATTTGTGTGTGTCTAAATAAAGAACCGATTATATGTTTCCTTTTACAGGTTACTGTTCTTGGAACCTCTGGGCTCTCGGGTTCATACGTGGAACAAAGATCTGCCGATGGGAAAGAGAACGAAGAGGAACCTTGTTGCAAATATTGCGTGTGTGTTCTTGGTCGCAATACACAAAGGCCAGTAAATAAATTGATGGTTTGTTTGTTCCAACTTCCAAGTGAATATTTGAGTTTTGACAGTTATGTTTCTTGCCTTGAGAGAGAGAAAGTTTTCATCTCTAGAATGATCAAGAGCATCAGTCTTAAGCTTTTGAGCCTCAAATTATTAAGAGTTTTCATAGTTGATTATGATCTTTGTTCCGCCTCGCAAACGTTACAATTTGAGACAAGAAACATGAATCTTGATTTGAGTTGTGATGCTAAAATGGGTTCATTTGTGGGGGATGTTTTGCAGGAGAGGCTTTGGGATTGAAGAACTGGATGAGGATAACCATTGGAGTGGAAGCTCATATGCTTGAGGATGCACTTGAGAGACTAAAGGGTTTCTGTGCACGTCATGTCAAGAAGACAGACAGAAACTGAGTCACTTGAAGCTTTGAAACTGTGAGTGATTAAATGTCGAAATATAAGAGATAAGAAAATGTATTTTACATCACCCAACACAGAGAGGTTGCATGGATGTATGTACAAGATGCCCAAAGGAATATTTCTATGATAATTTGGATACAAACTCATTTTCATAAACTTGCTTAGAAATTTTTGATGCTGCTAATGGTGAATTTGGATGAAGAAAATAGAAATTGCATCCAAAATCTTTCAGAAATCAAAATTTCATATTTTATTATGCTAATGGTGAACTTGGATGCTGTTTATCGTAATGTCATTTTTTTTTTGGTAAAAAATGTTAAATCATCATTTTGTGTCTACATGTTTTTTGAAAAAATCACAATCTTAGAATTCCTATTTGGTTCCACAATGCTGAAATTATGATTTTATGCCGGAAATGCAACATAGATAATCATAATTTTCGTGTCGGAATTGCAATTTTATGTCAGAACTCCATAATCTGAATTTTGACGCCAAAAATTGTCGAAATGCAAAAAATGAACGAGTTTATACATATTGACAATAGATCTCATACATTCATGTTTATACCATATATTGGTAACATTTACTGTGACTTTAACGTGTAAAACACAACATAACCTAACGTTGGGTACAAATTTGTCGACCAGTCCTTCCGATAAAACTTGAATTCTATTAGCTAAAATCATATTAAAATCGTCACAACCAATTGTAATGTAATCATATTAAAATCATATTAGATAAAACTACTAGCTTTGCATTATAATGTAATGTTTTTAGTTTCCCTCTCTTATGTTTACGTTCTTGTTTAAATACTTTTTTTTTTTTTACTTACATGTAACTGTAAAATAGAGACCATAAACTCTTTTTTTATTATTATTATCAATACGCCCTATTTTATTGGATTTTTTTTAACATAATCATAAAGTTAAAAACGGTAAACATGATTACAAATCTTCTACGATATTTTTTTTTCAATCAATCTCTTCTTCCGGGAGCTTCCATAGATGGCATCCGACGTGAGACTCTAATGAGAACAGTACCCATATATAGTGATCAGAACATTAATCAAATAAGTAGAAAGTATGAGAGTAAGTAGAGAAAATAGAGCTAGTACCGCGTCTGACTTGGCACAGTTGTAGCAATCGCATCTGTTTTGGCAACAGTCGTAGCAATCGTCGTCGTCAGGTTTACAAAGTTTTAAACAATGGTGGAAACATATAATTGACTCTTTCTTTGGTCTA